AGCTCTTGAAAATTCAATTCAGCTAAACAACCCTTCTTTCAGTGCTCATGGTGAGCAAGGTACTGTAATTTGGAAGAGAGGAGACGACGATACGATTCGATCAGGAACATTACGGAAATGAACAATAAGCGTAGTACAAGTTGAGTAAGCTCGATCAGAACAGCACAACACACGTTCTCTCTGAGGTTTTAGGGCAGAGGAGCCATCACCAATTCAGGTGTGTTTATGGAGAATGGAGAGGGTTAATCTGGAGTCCCATCTTCTCCTGTGTGAACTGTTAGATCGGCTTTCTATTTCATGCCCTCACATTGCTGCTGCACCATGATCTTTCTAAGGGCAATCTGACTGTGCTATGCCTCAGCTCTAAACCCTCCATTCCCCACCCCCCCACCATGGACAAGGAGTTCCAGTTTCTTATGTGTCACACACACAGTCTCTGCACCCTTAGTACACTGTCTCCTCACTGAGCCTACAGTGGCCACTACATTTCATGTCACCTGTACCCCAGAGACCTCGCTTGCTTTTCCCATGCTGTTCCTTCTACCTAGATGGTACCTGTTCTTCTTTCTTTTGCTCTTTTCCCCTCATGTGTCTGGAGAACCCTTTTCCAACTTCCTCAGCTCCTGTCCAGAAGACACAGCCGGTGATTCTAGACTCACCTTCCCACTACACTCAGCACCATCTCTCCATTTACCCTAGTCCTTTATAATCTGGGGCAGAGGCTGGGCATCCTGGCTTTCCCTATAGTATGCCCTGCTTGTGGTCTGAATCTGCAGTGGTCACGGCACAGACTATTTACTAAATTTATTTTGTCAACTGACATTAGATTCACTGCTTGGGAGAGTAGGCCACCCCTTTTGTCCGTAGGATTAAAGATGAGTCATGTGATATGCAAATGTAGAGCCTCCTTCCTGAGTTCAAGGGAGCAAGAGAAAGCTGCTTTTATTTGTTTAAATGGGGACAAGCCTTCTCTAAGCAGAGGAAGAAAAACTTTTATAAACTAAAATGTAAATAAGAAAAGAGATATTGGAATATAATGGTGGATGGACCAGACTTTGAAGGATCAGACTTATGCAGGCAGGCGCTGAGGGTTTAGGAGAAGAGTGAGCCTTGACAAAGTGGAAGACTGCTTTCTCTGTATACACAGACATAGTACAAAGCAAGATACGGAGGAGAGGATGAAAGAAATCAGAACCTTTTGTATACAGCCTAAGGCTTAGCAAGGAAGACAGCGGGCAGGCAAACTCAAGCACCTAATAGCACTGAGTTTTTCACAGCCATAATTATTGAGAGAAAACCACAAATATAACACTAGCCATGTACAGTAATGAGAAGTGACCTTTCGGTCAGTATCCTCTCCATGAAAGTACATCGCAATTGGACAAGTGCTTAACTTCTCAAGGTGTGGGGTTAAGCATAGGGGCTAAGACCTCCGACATTCTTTTTATAGTCCTCCACATCAAACAGCCTTTGAGCCCTTACTGACTGGAGTTTGAGATAGAATCAAACATGGTCCTAGGGCTGAACTCAACAGAGCTTCTGTGATCCCTGCAGCTAAAGCCAGCCATGCCTATTAAACCCGGGTGTCTGATTCTGCTCCCAGTTTAAATGCACCCGAAACCACCTGTGAGTGGTCTGTGAGTGGAGGTTGGAGTAGACTGGAAACTTATGGGGCCAGAATGTGAGGACTGGTTTGTCCTTCGTACTGCCTAGGTCTCAGTTTTCTCTCCTGCTAGGTTGTTCCTGGGGCTCCTTGGTTGCCTGGGGAAGTTCATGACCCCCATGCAAGGGTGAGCTGAAAATTTAGTTTCCTCTGGAAAGTTGAAAGAGCTGAAACTTGTGAGTTTCCAAGAAAACTTAAACTCAGGGCCCATCTTGAACAACCTCCTAAACCCAGCAGAACAAAGCATGAGTTAGGAGTTTCAAATGTTCTGGGGAGGCTGAATCTGGTGTGAGACTAGACAGTAGTGGAGACAAGTCTACCAGTTTGGTTTGCTTGTCATGTCTGTACCTCAACATCAGGGCCATTCCTTTACGTTCACTTTGCTCCTCCTCTTTTCCAATTCTGCTTTAACCTTTCCCCCCAAATTATAGAAGAGTATTAAATTGGAAAACTATCCCTATTTGTTTGATCAATGTGTCTGTCTTTCCTGGAAATGAACTCAGCCATGTGTTAGTGAGGCTGCTAAATATACTTAAGCAACAGAAAGCCATGTGTCTCATTTTCTGTTGTTCCCACCCAAACTCTGGTATTGCTGACATTAATGTTGGATTAAATCACTTAAGGTTGCAGTCGTTCAAAAAAAAAAGGTTGTTTCATGAACTCAAAGTTCCTGGACGATATGGGAGTACTGAGAGACTTGCCAGAAGATAATCAAAATCTGGGTTCCTCATCCTCAACCTAACTTTCCTTAAAAATTCATCAAGACCATCAGCATAGAATTCTAGCCCCTTAGAGATGAAAGGGCCTTTGGTAGAACCAAAGAAACCCACTTGCAGGCTGCAGTCAACCAGGGGAGAAGTCAAAATGCTTCAGAACCTGTCTGCAGTCCAGAGCAGTAGCAAAGCTGGGAGCTCAGTTCCCCAAATATTACATTTGTCTCAATTTGGCAAGAGGCTGAAAGCCTATCTGGGGCCATTTACGTTCTAATGTTATTAAGGGCTCATCTAATCAGCTCTTAAAATAAGCCGCTCACAAATGCCTGGGGACTGAGGGCAAAAGAGAGGCAAGTTGATCCAGGTAGCTCCCTCCAGCCTGGTGAGTTTACCTTGGTCTGAATTGCCAGAGATCCATGGGGTTGCCTGGCTGCTTTCCTGTTTGGTAACTTCTGCGATTCTAGACCAAGCAGCATTTGCAAAAGATGTTTGTAAGAGTGTGGGAGAGGAAGTTAATCTACATAAACCATGTTCTCCTGAGAGGTCCACCATGCACATGTGACAAGTCTTGGCAGGGGAAAATGAGCTGGCTTCTCTGCCTGGGGGTGGCTTTCAGAAATAACTGACTGAGAATTACCTCTGAATCAATTTCTGCAGACTTCTGAGAAGTTCTACCCTCAGGGGACCCAGCAGAATGCCCATCCCTGTCCATGGCCCCTGACAGTTGTTTTCTGTCTTTTCATGTGTTTCTCTCTTCCATCTTGGTTTGACTTTCTCTGGGTCCAGAAGCTTCTACCAGCCCTGGACTAAGATGGGTTCTGTCTTTGGTATGGATATGGCTCTCATGAAATCTAGCTTCATCCTTTGCATCCTCTTTAAACAGCAGACTCATCAGGAGTCCATGAGAGTCCTTTGCTTCAGGCTGTACTCTGTTTCCAAGGGTAAAACTGAGGCCAAGGGCCTAGATACTGGAATCACGCTGTTTCTAAATGTGATGGTGACACTTGTCTTCAGTATTGTGTCTTTTCCTAATGCTCATCTTGGGCAAATCACTTCTTATCTCTTTACAGTCTCATTCATAAACCTGGGGCCTCTCTTATATCTGTTTAATCCCTTGAGCAGAAGCCTAAGATACCAAGGCTGAATGGAGATGTAGGGTATTCTTACTACATCTATTTTTCTCATATCTAAAGCAATTATTTTAAATCATTTATTCATAGGCTACTTAGAAAAGGGTGATGGTACTCCGGATATTCTGCTGTCATTGACCCCTTAGAAGTCATTTTTACAAACCAAGTGTTTTTATTTGAGAAAGTCTTTTGGATGGGAGGTTTAATCTTTCCCTACTGCAAGTAGCTTGACAACTACTCTTCTCCCTGTAGAAATGTTTTCTCTGAGCAAAGTAGAGGTCAGTAAAACCACCACCATGTAAATACAGAATACTGTTGCGACAGGTAGCCTTCACTACTGCCTAGCTGGTCCAACCCGTCCCAGCTCTGCATGGTTGCAGAAATGTCTATCTCACTCCACTGGTAGCCTTGAAACATTAAACTTACCAATTCACCCTGAAATATGAATGGCTGACAGCCAGCTTAACATGATGAAGTCTCTTGCAACTTGGAATGTTCAAAGAATTAAGAAAAAAAATATGGGCCAGGGATACTCTGTAGTCTAGTGTCCCCAACTGAGACAGGAAGCAGCCGAGGACATTCTGGGTGAATTTTTATGCAGAATTTTAGACAAGACTTGCATTGAGTTTGCAGAGTGCTGGAGGTGGGGAAGTAGATACTGAGTACACAGCCAATACACAATGAGGCACAGGAAGGAAATGAGTTTTTTCTGAACAAACTTGAACACTGTATAAACAAATAGCCAGAGAAGGCTGGTGGGCATATCATCATTGTTTTGCAAAATAAAAATCAAACACACCTGTTTGAAAAGTTCTCAATTCAGTGAATAAGGTTTGAGTGCCATGGAAAGTTATGGAGGGAGTGAAATATTCATTGTGCCTGTCAACCCTGAATCCTCGGAGCCTTTCCCGTCGACCATTTTTCAGAGGCTATTATTTCACCCCCCAAATTTTCCGACATATATATGTGGTAGGAAAAAGGAATTAGGAAAGCTTTTAAATTAAAAGAAATAAAACGACAGGTTTTCCTCTAGCTGTATAAATAGTTATGGATAGAGATAAAGAGAAGGATATTTTTTCATAATACTTTATTAGGGGTTTCAGAACTCTGAATTTTTAGAGTCAGGCTCGTGAATAATTTAGCATTGATTCATGCTGGCCTGATGCAGGAGCGCTGGGCTGAGAATCAAGTCTAGCCTCTTGGAGGGACTGAGTTCAGTAAGACATTTTTATTACCAACTGCATCATGAAATGCATTTCAGTACTATTTTATGAGTAGCCAAAATTTTAGTACCTGGTTTCTCGAGTGATTTCGGGGACCGTGTGAAGCCCAGAGGAGCTGACGCGGTTGGCCAGCTCATTTCATGGAGAGTATCCCCAAGGCTGTTGTTTCAGTGACAAAGGGTCTCAGGTCCCGGGGAATATGCAATTCCTACTGAAAGCCTTAAACTGGCCATTGGCATGATGGATAGGAAAAGGCCCACAGCAACAGTACCTTCGTGATGTCGCCCTCTCCGGTGTTTTCTCTTGACCGTGTGCTCTTTGATTCTAACTCCTGAAGAGATCTGTCCTCTGAGCAAGGAGCTGATCCAGATGCCTGTAACAGGAAGGAACACATAGCTTTACAATGAGAACTTCAGTTTCTCTATATTTTTCCCTTTCAATAAATTAGAGGTGGGCCATGTAGCTCTCTGCAAAAAAATGAAATTGTTGCTTATTAAGTTGTTATTCTCTCTCCAGAGTCTCATTTATTTATTTTTATTAATTCTTTGTATTGAGTTTTACAACCACGTGATAAAGTGATAAATATATAAAATAAAAATTCTGTGGAATCATTATAATTCCAGAAACATGTTTTATATAACAAATTCAACAACTTACATGGGGTCGTTCACATACTCAGACAATCTGATGGCCACAAACTTTTGCGGCTTCCTCCAGGAAGCCTCCCTTCCCACTGCTTCTACAAACTGGAGTCCCCTTTATCCCCTTAATTTCTTCAGCATGTTGAGTATCCCTTCATGATGAAGGTACTATTAACCAGAGCCTCTTTATCTGTGCATCGTTTTACTGCAGATTCTCAAGGACCTTCCAGACTCTCCTCAGGGTCAAAATCTTTGTCCCTCTCCAGTTTTATTTGGATCTTGTCCAAGAACATACTAACCCAGGAAAGATCATTCACTAATCAGTGAATGGATGCAGAATACGCCTATCTGGTTAGAAACCCCACCCCCCTAAAGCATGCCCATCTACTGTGAGGGAAAGCTTCTGCGTAAGCATATTTATCAGCCTTTTTAATCAGGGCACTGTGCAGAACTTGGACCGGTCTCCCCCCACACAGTTCCTCAGGATCTGTCAATGCAATTGGTGGCATGATAATTGTGCCTTCAAGGACTTCCTGCTCACAAGTGCTACTAAGCCTTCTCCAAAAGGGGCACTAAGCCTTAGGGATCTCATTTATAGATGCCTAAAGAGGATGCATTTGCAAAAATTGGTTGGAATCCAGAGGAGGAAGGAGCTGGCATTCTGTTAAGGCCTGTGTTTCTTTTCTAAGTTGTCCCTGAATGAATTCGCCTTTCCCAGAAGGCCCTCTCAGAACCCCAGAGGGGTAGAAGTATAAAGATCATCTGCTTCTATAAGGGCCAGATGTGTCTATCTCTGGAGAATACTCTGGCTGCCTAGAGAGTGGAACTCCAAGCGAGTGGGACTACAAGCAGTTTGGGTCTGCATCATTAGAATAGAAGTGGTCCTCGATAGGTTTGCTGGTAACTGAGGCAGAGGTTACAGATCATATCCATGGCAGGTATTTTCCTCTTCCAATTAGAATCTAGCTGCTCACCCAAAGGAAGAACCACAGGTAATTTGGGAGTGAATTTTGGATAGCAGCTATCCTAATTTTTCACCTTTATTTGAGAGGCAGGGGGCTCTAATTGTAAACAATCTCTCTTTCCATGGAATTAAAGCTCACTCTCCTATGTTGCCCACCTGTTGACCACTTCCCTTCACTATATGTATGACAGGTGATGTCACTCTTGGAGAGCTGGTCTAATCTCTTTTAAACCAACTAAGTCAATGTTACTGTAAGGGTTGGCAAAATCCCCTTCTCCTCAGTTCACTTAACTCCACAATCTGTAACATGCTACTTTGTTACCCGCTTCTCTAACAGATTATAGGCGCTAACGTGTGTTCATCAGGTTTCAAATTTCTTCACTTGAAATTGTTGAAATTATAAAGGAGATGCGTTAGAGAATCCGTATAAGGACATATGGGAGGTACACCCATCTTGGTTCTTTGATACCCCCGCCTCCATCCTCACACTTGGCTTTCACTTCCCAAGAAACAGACTTAGCTGAGACAGAAGGAAGCAGGCCTGGCCAGAGGGCGCTCTGGAACTGTTCCTTTTAGGGGGAGAAGCCACGCCCAGAACTTTGAAACCCACATGGACCAGTTTTTGCAGTTGAGTTCCCTCCAGGGAACAGGTGGGCACAGCTTTGGTTAAAGAAGTCCTTTATGACTGACAGGCAACTCCCATTGTGTGCAGGGGAGTGCCCCAACTTGGTGTTTTCTCACAGTACTGTCAATGGACACATTTTCTCCTTTCTTGCTCATTTAAATCTAATTATGTGCATACCATAGCTATACAGAGTGTTTTTGTTTACAGCTTTTCTATAATACTCAACTTACGTTGACTGTGCACACCCATCGTCATTCCCTCCACCTAATTTATTTGCACACTCACACACAACTTTTAACAGAATAAACATCTAGGACTTTTCAGGGCAGTCTCCTTCATTCTCTTTGGCTTGGCTCTCTTACTTCTCCTTCCCTGAACAACATATCTTTAATCTCCATGTTGCCTGTGTGGAGTATATCCCCATACATTTTCTTTCACAGTTCACCTACGTAAGACCTGTGTGAATGTGGGTATGTGAGATTGTTCACTTTTGTGGTCACTGGGAGGGTCTCTGAGGCATGAGACACAAAGAATAAAACACAGCCTCTGCTGTCATGGAGTTCTCGCCTGTGGTACCAGGTTGTTGTAGCACAGTTAGGCAATTTCCTTTTGGAGGCTCACACCAAATAGGGGGAGCAATAATCTAGAAGGCTAGAACTGATCCATTTAGGCTCCAGAAGTCTAGCACAGTGCTCTTCGCTGTTTAACCAACTTTTAAAGCAGGTTTTAAACTGTGGGCTGAGGAAGGGTCAAATTGAATTTGAGCCAATATGTGCCAGTCATTTTCCTGAAGTCATGACCACATTTGCTCTGTCAGAATGCAGCTCGTCATGAAGCCGACACCCCAGCTCTTGTGATTTAACACGCATTACCTCACGGGTGGGTCCAATTAATTTGATTGTACAGTTGTACAGCTCTGGGTTACCACACAAAGGCCTCATGTTAAGGCAGATTTTCATATCACTGGAGACAAGGAGGGCTGCTCTGACAGGAAGTGAGGACGGAGAATCGCGACTTAAGCATGCATTCCTGTGGCAAGTCCCAGAGGCTTAGCTGAGGTAAATATCACACCAGGGCTCATGCTGTCAAATGCTCCCAACCGTCCCACTTCTGGAAGACCCCGAGGATAAGGGGAGAGGTACCATAGACATACCCAAAGGTCAAAGGAAAGGCCTTCTGCCTGGGCAACTTTAGTGAACCAGTATGTGGGTTATTTTGTTTTTTTATTTGTTTGCTTCATTTTTTTTCCCATCTACTCCCTTTTGCCATTCATCTGTACCCTCTTTGATGTCCAGTGTTTTCTAAGGTCGACTTGTTGATCTTTGAGGAAAAAACAATCTAAGAAATATGCCAGAAAATGTGCAGCATATATTCTTTCCTCATCAAAGGCCAACCTTCTCGTACTGAAAGTGAGTTCAGCTTCCCAAGAGGCTCCGCTTAGTCTTTGTAGCATGGGCTCCCCGTTCCCACTGACCAGGCAGGATGTAAGCACCTGCGCAGTGCAGGGAGAACTACCCAAGAGGTCAAGCTGACTTCAATCACAGAATTTCCCCAGGCCTGGAGTGTGTCTCTCTTGGGCCCAGGTGAAACATGGGGCAGAAGAAAGACCCCTGCCACGCCAGGCACAGCAATCAAACTCTGCCGAGGTTCAGATTTCACAGCAATCGCTCATGTTGGAAATCAGTACAAACTCTGAAATTGACTGCCATGGATTTCTGTACAGTTAACTGCTGTTGGCATTCCAGTAATGGCCATTGATTCCAGCGCTGCTGACCAGCTCTAGACAGAATCACCCAGTACCTGAAAGCACAATCAATTCTTTTCTTTTTCTCAATTTTCCCAGCAGTTGGTAGCTGAACAATAGAAAGGGTTGTGAGTGATCAATAAATTGTGCTTAGTTATCTACTTGACAAAATGGGAATCCCAGGCAGCCATGGGTGATCTGGCTCATACCCTCTTTTATCTCCCAAACTCTTCTACTAGGAGGGATCTTGAGTGCCTATTTTTTTCAGACTTTCTTTCTTCCAGACATAGAAATGTGAATGTTTCTTAGGAGAAAGTTTCTGACCCACTGGCTTTCCAAACTACGATTCAGTGGGCAGCGTGTAGAAGTTTGCCAATTCTCCACTTTTTAGCTACTTGTATTCAGAAAGTTAGCCTGCAATTAAAGCAACCATCATCTATTGTCTCGCCATGTCTGTAGATCACTGAGACTTTAATGGCTTACGGGTGGTATGCCTCAGGGTCCTCATGAGATTTTGGTGACTCTACAGTCACCTGAAGACCCATTAGACATAGCCTAGTTCCAAAATGGCTATTTTTTTTTAAGTTCAAGTTGTCATTTTGGTTCTAAGTTTCTTCCCAATGGGTTTCTTGAGGGTTTAGTTGAATACTTTTAAAACTTGATAATGGCTTACTCCAGAATGAGCAGTCTAGGGGAGAAGATGTTGGGGGTCACGATGTCTTTTTTAACAGCTCTTTTCATTGTTTCTGCATTATTCTAATATACATGCTAGATTCAATTAATGTGGAAGAAGTTCTTACAAGGATATAAACACCAGATTGCAAAGTTCAGAGGGAGGACACTTGAAAGCCAGCTACCAACAAATGCTTTTTACTTTGTCCACAATCATGAACACATGGAACCAGTCAGTTCTGTTTCTTAAATCGCCCTAGAACAATGAATGGAAAGCATGGAATTTGACTCAAGTCTTATCCCTTGCCAGGCATACACTTTTAAAAGAGGAACTCATGTAAGGCCTGTGTGATGGTTGCTCTTGATGGATTCTAGAGTCACCATGGAAATGCACTTCTGGGGTTGTCTATGAGGGTGCTTCCAAAAAAATTACACTGAATAGACAAGACCCACCTTGAATGTGGGCGGCACCAAGGCATGGGCTAAGGCCCTGGAGTGGGATATAGGAAGGAAACAAGCTGAATACCAGAATTCATCCTCCTCTGCTTCCCGACTGCAGACTTAACTTTTTCTGGTCCTTCCCCACCGAGAGCATGCCTTCTTGGTCAAGAGGAACTGAGCTCCCAAATAGGGAGACGAAAGCGATACTTTCTTCCTTGAGTTCTTTTTTGTTAGTTATTTTGCCACAATAAAGAGAAAATGAACTAATACAGCCTTTAATTACCCC